GATTCGAGAATGTAAAACATCTGTAGCGAACTTCTGCCCTCCGGGGTTCTCCCACTGTGCTGCAAGCCTGTATTTAAGGTTTCCTCCCTCCTTCAATAAACGGCATTCGGCATTCTATTGAGACGAATGACCCGCTGTCTTGTCTCTGTTTTTAATCCTCAGCCCCTCGCTCCGACATGGTGAACGGGTGGTAGCACGGGCCACTGCACGCGCCAGCCGGAAGGACACTTTCTCCCTTGAGTCTGCTCCTCCAAGGCTGTTGAGGAAATGACAGACAATGGCTTACAGGAAGCACCCAGCTGAGTTGAGAGCATAGTAGGCACTCAGCTGATTACAATCTGCCACATCAGTGCTCTCCCCAAATTCCTGTAGCGCCTCCTTCCCGACACCACACACTTCCAGTCCCTGAACCCAGGGAGCTCACCTGGCCATTTCTGCTCCTATCCATCCTCCTGTGAAAATCCTGGTCTCCTTTCCAGGCTTGTTCTCTGCTGTAGCCTGGCAGCCAGGAGTCAGCCCCAGCTGATTGCTGGATTGCTCTCTCTGGGCTTCATTAACATTCTTATCAGTTCCACACCACCAGCCAAGTATCCAGGAGGAATTAAAAGCCACGTTGTGAGTCTGACTTTCTCTGTACACCTGCTGACCTTCCCTATTTTATAGGAGGTGTTTTGGGTCCAGGTCCATTATGCTTGTTACCTTCTCCTACAGTATCTATCCAAGTGTCTCAAACACTGCAAGCCTGCTGCTGCATGTGAAATGATTCACAATCCCCTAACCTCTGCCTGTCTCCAGATCCCCAGCCAGGCCTGAACACTTGCTGCTCCCCTACACGTATGGAAGGCCTCTCCAACCAAAGCAAGCACAGACCATCCAGTTCAACCACCTCGTGCCACAACAAAGCTAGCACAATTTTCTTTTCCCCTTCTTTGAAACTCCACAAACAGAAGTTTCATTTTTCACTATTAAAACTGTAGCAACCTTGGGCAAATGAAAATTCTTCCTTCTCAAGTTGGGAACTGTCACGGTTGGTTTCACTGAAAGGAATCATCTTACAGCTCTGGGGTCTGTGCGGCCTATGTTACGACACTGCCGCTTCAGAGATATTATTAAGGAAGGTAGGAACAACTTGATACTAACATCTGTTACCAAGTTCATGCCCAGGGAGTGGTCTCTCATACAGTGTAGACACTCCGTGCCTTGATGACAGAGTGAGGTGGTGTAAGATTTCACCATGTTCCTCAGAATGGCATGCAGTTTAAAATTTATAAATTGAGTATTTCTGAAATTTTCCATTTGATTTATTCAGACCACAGCTGACTGCTGGCAACTGAATCCAGAGAAAGTGTAACAGTGAACGAGGAGGGACTGGTCAGTGTTCACTGATTGGATAGTGCTCTCTCTCTCTCTCTCTCTCTCTCTCTCTCTCTCTCTCTCTCTCTCTCTCTCTGTGTGTGTGTGTGTGTGTGTGTGTGAGCGTGCATGCACGTGCAATTTTAGTATAAAGAAATGTTAAGAACAGAAAAAACAAATTCAGGTTGCTAATTCTTGAGGGAAAGGCAGGTACTACCATAGGGGGTTCAGTAGCAAATTGCATGGATGCCATCTGACTGTTAGTTAAAAATTTGGAAATAGTTCATTGATTGATATCTACTGTTCCTCTGTTCCTGGAGAGCTTGTTAACATACACAGTAATGTATGAGAGATTCTCCTAGCATGAGAAAAAAGTACTAAAATATTTGTCTTAGAAGAGATTTAGTTAGGATTTCAGAGTATAACTCAACAAATTCTTTTAATTAATATTTTATCTGGCAGGAAATATTTATGAGACATTACCAGCCTCATAAATGCAAATGCAATTTCTATAAATAGGAGAAAAACTAATTTCCTGTAAGTGTCATATTCTAAAGAGGAAGACGTTAACTGTGAATTCAGCTCCTGCTCATGGAAGAGGGGAAGAGAGGTACAGAGAAGACACAGAGGAGGTGGTCTGCACGCTAATTAACCGTGAGAACACACACCAGTTCTGCTGCTTTCTTGTGCCTCTCTCTCATTTGCAGACAATGAAAGACGCACTTAGCACCTTCCGAGCTCTCTAAGTAGAGCTGCCCCCTGTCCTCAGATGCCATCTGGGCGGAAAAGTCCAGAACGCCCTAAGTCTGCAAATTTGTGAACACTGGTCAGGACTAGAATCCCAACCACCACTTCTCATTTTTCAGGCCCAGGCTAAAAACCGGACATGGATGTTTCTGTCTCTGGCTTATGGTCCCAGCATTCAGAGAATATTGTCAAAGCAGTACTGCCCAGACCATCCTGTTGTGTTACAAATTCTGCCATGTTCCGTCAAGAGGCAGACAGAACACCGTGTTCTCTATACTAATCCAAAGAACACCGTGTTCTCTACACCAACCCAAAGGCCACTGCTGCTACAGGATGGAACATGGAGCCAAGCTCAGCAAATGCTTCAAGTGGGCATTAGCTGGATCTCAGAGCAGCACAGCTTCTCGTGATAACTAGGAAATCAAAGAGTTAAATACTCCTACGGAGTGTTAAGCCAGCACATACTGGTCACTCTGGCTAGTTTTGTGTCAACTTGACATAAGCTAGAGTCATCTGAAAGGAGGGAACCTCAATTGAGAAAATTCCTCCGTAAGATCTGACTGTAGGACATTTTCTTAATTAGTGATTGAGGAGAGAGGGCCCAGCCTGTTGTGAGTGGTGCCATCCTGTGCTGGTGGTCCTGGGTTCTATAAGTCAGAAAGCAGGCTGAGCAAGCCATGATGAGCAAGCCAGGAAGCAGCGCTCCTCCATGGCTGCCTCATCAGCTCCTCCCTCCAGTTCCTGCCCTGTTTGAGTTCCTGTCCTAACTTCCTTTGGTAATGGACTATGATGTGCAAGCTTAAGCCAAATAAACCCCCGTCCTTTCCCAACTTGCTTTTGGTCACAGTGTCACATCATAGCAATAGTGACCCTAACTAGGGACAATGAGATGAGCACAAAGACAAAGTCCCTTGAGGGACAGACAGATGATTCCTTGGGTAACAGAGTAGGCCACAGTGAGTAACCAGGGGCAGGTGCTGGCCTGGTGGCACTTAGCTCTGTTCCTGGGTGGGCTAGGACAGTGGCTTTTTGGTGCTGCTTTCTGGCAAGACTGTATAGTTGCACATCAGGCCCAGTGACGGGCATATTTCTCCTTGTCATTGACTAAGCCAGCTTCCTCGTCATGGCCACCATTCATATGATAAATATTCTCCCAAACACAGGAGCTAGGGCCTGGGGATACACAAGCACAGTCAGGCTGTGTTCACTTGGGGGGCCAAAGACAGCTTACTCTAAGCCTAGTATTTGGGGTATTGAACCCCAAAGGCTGGGTAACAGACAGAGAGGAGCTAGAGTTAACTCCACTGAGTTTGATAGGCTCCCCTGAAGGCACCAGCAGATGTCACCTGCTGCCTCTCCCCAGACAGCAGCCCTCCCTGTGTAGAGCGACATTTCTCTCTTTCCTACAGTTCACAGGAATCGAAGAAGAGAGTTCTCTTTGCTCAAGGCCGGGAGTCCACACAAGAGGGGGAGCGGGAGTTTCAGACAGCAAGAAGGATCTGGGCTGCGTAGAGACAAACAATGGATCCCGGAAGGATGTTCAGCCTCCAGAGCGGCGGCCAATGGAGCACATATATGGAGAATGTCGAACAGAAAATGAAATAGAATCGGGAGATCTGATGAGATGCAGAGAACGTGGATACAGAATAATGTTCAAGCAGAGGACTGGAAGGTGGGTGGGTTTGTGCTCAGTGGAACACGGGGATTCAGGAGTGCGCCATTAATACCGTTATCAGACAGCTTTCTGCTTAGAATACTTAATAATACAACAACATACACAGGACTTCATTTCAGAAATGACATTGTATTTTTAATATTGTATATAAAAAGCCTTTGGGAAGAGACAAAGAGAGAAGTGGGGCAGTGGGGGTTAAGGCCAACCATCTTCCCCGGAGACAGTTTGGGTCTCACTTGTCCTTCCATGAAAGGCCACTTCCCTGCCATTCCCACCTCGCTATAGGTTGCTTAGGAGGTGGGGCCTCAGGAGAATGCCCCAACAACATACACCCATTCCCTTCTCTCTTCTCTAGACTTTCACCTCCAGCCAGAGGTTCAGACCTTCAGAAGACGGTCCAGCTACAGGAGCCAAACTCATCAGCGTGGTTAGCGCTGGGATATAGCTTGAGGTGGTACCAGGACTAGGACTCCTGACTTCCCTAGGAAGGAAGGTCCCCACCTGCTGCATTGGCTCTCTGGAAAGGCACGGAAGTTCTGTCAACACCCCCTTCAATGCGCCCCAGAGTGACTGTGCAGTCCCTGCAAGGCTCTGAGCCTGCATTTTCTGCCCTAAGAGTTTCTCCTGTCTGCACCTCCACACCCTCTAAACGTAGGCACGAGGGGTGCTCACACAGTCGCGGGGGCGCTTACACAGGCGCGATCACACACACGCACACACACACACACACACACACACTCACACTCACACTCACACACACACACACACACACACACAGGTACACGCGAGTCTTTCCACATATACAAGGGAGGCTCTCAAACACTCACATCCACCGGTGCAGGTCTCGGACTCTCACATTCGAGTGGCTAGAAGCAAAGGATCATCACCCGGGAGGTCCAGGAGGGAGGTGGCGAACCAGGGGAGAAGCGGAGAGCAGGGGACAAGAGAGTAAGGCGGAGGCTGCAAGCTCTCTCCCATCAGCCTCCAGCACCCGACCCCTTGCCAAGTGACTGCGACCCCTGGCACCAACAGCCCCCACCCATCTCCACTATCTGCCCCATTGTGCATGCATTTCCCCCATTACTGCCTTTCCTTGTTATTCTCCTTTGCCTGTGGCCCTTTAAATCGCGTTCTTATCCAGAGATTCAATTGTAGGGGGACAGAGGGAGGAGAACCCAGGGGGACGGGAGGGGATGGGGCGGGAGAAGAGAGAAGGGCGGGGAGGAGAGGGACAGCAGTGAGCCTCCTGCTGCTCTCTCTAGCTAGAAGGGCGAGGCAGACCCGTGAAGGGGCGGGAGGTTTAGACGCCTCTGCCCGCAGGACTCGCGACTCCAGAGTAGCTCAGGGCAGCTGCCAGGAGGTCGGCAATGCCTGAGGCTAGGGAATCCCCGGGAGAGCCCTGAGCGCCACCTGCACCGCCTAGGAAGGACCGCCCGAAGTTAGCCCCAGGGGTTCAGAGAAGCTCCCTTCTCGACAAGTAAGTTGTCTCCTTTTCCCTTGCATCCCTCCCCAGCCCAGCGACTCCCCAAGCCGGACTGGCGCCGGGGATCCTTTGGTTCTGAAAGCAAGCTCACACCCACCCGAGAGCCTGCTAGGTTGAGACGGGATGGGAACAAGATCCCGAGGTCCAAAGTTCAGCAAACCGGAGCTGGCCTTGGCCGCTTGCCGCCCAGAGATGAGGAGTCCAGCCTCCCGAGGACTGTAAACGCCCCCGCTCCCGGCGCCAGACCCGGATACCTGGGCGCCCAAACCTTCCATCTTAGGCTTGCCCAGCCGGGCTGTGGGAGGAGATAACGAGAACCTTGCTCCCATTAGCAGCTCTACCTTCAAGTAGGGGCCAAGATGGCCCGGTGAGGCGACCCCCTGAACCTTAGACTCTCGGCTAGCTTCAGCAGCTTGTTTTCTGATCAAATTGGGAAGCCTCTCTTGTGGTGCTAGCCCTCCCCTCTGCGCTGGCTGCTACCTGCATGCTTGCTTTCTTTTTAAAACATCTTTGCCATTATTTAAAAAAAAAAAAAAAAAAGGATGAAGATAAAAGCTGGAGGAGGGTGAGCACACCGTCACAGTACTTTTTGTTTTTATTTTTTATTGATGAATGTCTCTCCCTGAAGATCTGCCCTGTAGCCCCTGGTTCTGTCAGGGCTTCCCTCAAATGCAAGGGCAGGCCACTGGGAGTGGGGCTCTTCTGTTCTGGGGCTGTGGAACAGACTTGGATTAGTGCTGGCTCCACAGGATACCCCCAAGAGAGAGTGGACGCTCTAGCCTGCCCAGTGTCCGTGCTAAGAAATGGAGACCCTTTCAAATACAAGATGATCCGCAGGAATATGCATGTTTACCAAGAACTCTTTGATCCCTCTCCGTTAAACTGGGACTACCAATCCTATGCTGCAGGTTAGAAACGTAGCCCAGGGAGGATGAGTAACTTGCTTGTAGCACACAGTGTATGACAGGAGATTCTCATCTCTATCTGTCTCCAAACCATACATACCTATTCTTTGACACAAGCAAGCTGCCTAGTTCACAGAGCACATTCCCCCCGTGGGAAAGTCAGGGAAAGCAGCTAATATTTATGGGACTGGGATGTTGAGCTGAGACAGGGTCTTATGACTTAACCTGGACACAGGTCCTGTAAGGCAGAGCTTGCTTGGTTTTCCTGTTTCTCGAAGGAACTAAAGCAAAAGGAACTCTGGGCCCTCAAGGGTGCTCCTAATCTTCTCCGTCCATGCCTTTGCTTAGGTACAGTCTCCTCTGTCCCCATCGTTATTTTGTTCTGAGAGATGCGGTACCACTATATAGCTGCTGCTCACTGTGTAGACCAGGCTGGCCTTGAATTCAAAGATCAGCTCACCTCTGCCTCTGGAGTGCTGGGATTAGAGGCATGACCCGCGGTGCCTGTTTTAGGTGAATGTAGTCTTAAATCCCATCCCAGGGTTTCCTAGGCTGTGGTAGGTGAACAGAACAGAATGATGCTTTGGGATTTAGAAGAGGATTGAATTAGGTTCCGACATAAAAGGGTTGGCTAGACTCCTTGGGATCGTAGACTACTGAACAGGTCTTACAGGGCAAGGGTCTGCTTCCATAGGGAGTTCTAGGGCTCAGGGTGTGCTTGGGAGCACAACTGAATCAGGTCACCATTGAAAGAGGAACTATCACAGAAATAATTTCATCCTCCAACAACACCCAGCCATCTTCCCCAGACTTACTACCTAGCTTTCCAACAGAAAAAGGGCCCAGCACTCTGGCATTGCCTCTCCAAGACAGCTACCAACTGCTGGCTACTCAGAAGCAGCATTTCTTGCTTAGGAGCATGTCTGTTTTAAGCATAAAATGAATGCGTTCTATGCTCCATCTAGCAAGCAGGTCAGCTGTGGGAGGAGGGAAGACGGGAGGGAGAGCAGGAGATGGACAGGGCTGGTCATCCCCTCTGCCCAGAGCTGTCTGCCTCTGTCCAGAGCTGTCCTGAAGCTGAAATACTTACTCTGTATAAAGTCAGGTCTCAACAGGATTCCCCAGTAAAGATTCCCCTGAGGCTGCCTTCCACATCCTGGGCATGCAGAACACCTCTCTGTAGGTCCCATGGACATGTCAATGTGTCCCTGTGATTATATCTCATTGGCCTTGCTTCCTCTGGTACATGATGCACAAACTGCAAAGTCTTTCTAGCGTCCTCTGGAACTGTGTAACTGGGTTTCTGGTCCATCAGTTGAGGAGCCTTCTAAGGCTGCTGTAGTCATTTGTGATGAAGTTTACTCCACAGCAGGGGGCCCAGTCTTCAGTTTCTACTCACTTTTAAGGTGCTAGGGATTCTGCATGCCTTCTGGGGCCAAGCCACTGGAATGTATGCTGGAAGTTCATATACCTGAACACTCCATCCACTTCTGAATGTTATTTAAAATCAGTTCAGCAGTCAGTTGATTTCCTAGCATATGTCAGGAATAGATAATTTTTGGAGTTTTTTTTAATGTAATCAAAGCAAGGTTATTTTCCAATAAGGACATTAGCTAAAGCTTGCCTGTATTTTCCAAGCCTATACTGACCAGACTTTTAGGCAGGGAGCGGAGGACAACGGAAGGAAACTGAGTGGGGGCAGGAATCCGTGGTGGCTCAGTGGATCCGTTTTTAGACCAAGCTTTTCGCTGTGTGAACTGGTCACTGAGAGGCAGTGTTTCTGAAGGGGCCGATCGTCCACTGTCTGCTGAGACACTTGTCGGCTATAAAGAACAGTTTCCTTCTTTCTTTCTTCCTCTTCTTCCCCTCTAGAGACAGGAGAATGAGAGTTCTGATACAAAGAATTACAGGGAGAAATTTGAACAAAATTACCTAAGTGTATTTTTTTTTTCTTCAAAGCAGCTTAGGAAGCGGCTTTCTCTGAAATTGTTTTTAAAGTGAGGAGAGGAACCCAACGGAAGGGACTGGGTGGCTGTCCTGGGCGTCTAGTTCCTCCTGCCTCGACTTTCTGATAAGGGAGCTATTCCTGTCCACAGAGCCCAGGGTGACAGCAACCTTTGCCAAGAGCTGGGTTAAAACTAAATGTCAGAAACAAACCTTCAACACACGACCCTGGAGATCCTGGCTGGAACTTAAATGTTAAGTCCTGCTGTCATTCGGGACCAGAGCAGGCTGGGAGCAAAGGTCAGGGTTAATTTGACCGGTTAGCAGGTAGCAACAGCACTTCCTGGTCACCAAGGACAAACCCAGAGGCTGACCAGAGTCTGGGCAAGATGATGAAGGGGAAGGAGTCGGGTTGGGTTTGGCGGGCACGTCTTCATGGCCCTGACTTGGCTCTTGGGGCTGGGAATGCTCTCTTTCTCTCTCTCTCTCTCTCTCTCTCTCTCTCTCTCTCTCTCTCTCTCTCAGCTTCTCTCACATTCCAGGCTCCCGCTATCACAAGCAGGGAGACCAGAGTGCAGTTACCTTCCATCGCCTCTTCTGGTCAGAAGAGAGGGGGAAAGCAAGAACAGAGGACTCTGAGATTTGGGGCCAAGCCTCTGTTCTAAGATTCTGTCCCTCGTCCATCTTGACCCAGCTCTGGCCTCTAAGAATTTGATATTTGAACTTGGTGGGGAATGGGTCAGAAGAGCAACCTACATGTGGTACTGCCTCTGTGCCAAGAAGGTGGCTGTCTTTAGTGAAACAGAAGCCATGGGCATCCCTAGGGTCCTTCCATAGGAAAGCTGTCATGACAACCAGCTGACTTTCACAGCAGCACAGGACCCCACTGACTGTCAGAGTGCCAAGGTCTTTCCTGCCCTGGTCAGATGGGCTTGGTTGTTTTGTTAACCAATCTTCATGACATGAACTAAAAAAAAAAAAAAAAATCATTCACATCCCTTCAAAATACAAGCGAAGCCCCTGCCTTGTGCAAGCCCCTGAGATAGAAGGTGGGCTCATTTACACACTTGCCTGCCCTACCCTGGGAGGGGTATAAATTAGAGCCCAGTTGGGAAGTGACAAGAAGACACAGGCAGAAAGTCCTTACAAGGACAGCCTCAACTAAGGGATGCAGGGAAGGCTTCCATGGAGCCTGGCAAAAATAGGTCTTCTGGTGGCAGGTGAGTGGCTTGGAGCGTGGCCTGTAGACACAGGACAGTAAGGGAGCAGGATGGAAGAGCAGGGGCTGAGAACTGGAGCCTGGGGCTGGTTGGGCATGGGCTCCCGATGGTCCTCGGGTCCGGCACTGACTCAAGTATGGCTCTCCCTTCACCTCTCATAAACACTCACACCAACACCATTTTATTTCCCCCTCCCTCCCCCTTCCCCCTCCCTCCCTCCCTCCCTCCCTCCTCAACCTGGATCTTTCATCCTGTCTGCTCTGACTGTTTTCTTACTCTTTTCTGACTACACCTGCCCTTCAGGTCTTCATAACCCATTTGCTTTTTTCTTTCTTTCTTTTCTCCTTTTTTCCACTACATCCGTCACTCTCTCATTCCCTTTATTCATTTTTTATTTACTCTTTAGATCATTGTAGACTCATGCGCAGTGTAAGAAATGACCATCAGGGGCTGGAGAGATGGCTCAGCGGTTAAGAGCACTGGCTGTTCTTCCAGAGGTCCTGAGTTCAATTCCCAGCAACCACAAGGTGACTCACAACCATCCATAATGAGATCTGGTGCCCTCTTCTGACCTGCAAGCATGCATGCAGACAGAACACTGTATACATGATAAATAAATAAATCTTTTTTTAAAAAAAGAAATGACCATCAGAGCACTGTTCCATATCTTCACCCACTGTCTCTCAGCAGTAACATCTGGCAAAACTGACCGAATGGTCGCCAATAAAACTCTGCTTACATACATATGGACCTGTTGTGTGTTGCCTCATTCTCACCATACAGATTCTGAACCACCCTGCCCTCTCCTCAGCCCTGGCAGCCACTCTTCTGCCCTCTATTTCAATCTTTTTATTTTTAATATCAAGAATATAATAGAAGTAGGATGATACTTTTGGGTTTGACTGTTTTCTCTCAATACAATTAC